GAATTGTTCAGTTCCAGAGGCAGTTGTTAATTATTCCACTGAGTACGCGTACATACATATTTCATGTGAACGTGCTCTATTTCATTATGTGATGAATATGTCCCGATACCAGAATTGGGTTTATAATCATATATCTGTAATTAAAAACGCAACCTGTTTCACACTCTAGAATATATGTACCGTTTTCTTCTCTAGTTATATTGTTAAAAAATTCGTTGCATTTTTCACGTTTTACTTTTAAGTTTTGTGTCATAGATTTACAGTAGTACTATACACCAGTTCGTGTGATTGAAATAACAATTTTGTACTGTTATAAACTAGATCAACTTCTCTTCATTACTGGAAGCCCATAAATAAACGGACGGAAAATGTGTAAATTATTAACCAAACAGTCGCTTTCATTTTTCACATTTTCAATTAACGGCAAAATACTTTTTTTGTTTTCCGCTAAGTAATTCAGCCCTTATTTTTCTAGGAGTAGCAGCTTGTGCCCATGCGACCAATGTAGACCAGGACAAGGCGGCAAACCGTGTCTTTTGCTAATGGACCACTCTGTTTGCTTTTCAGTCAATACATATATTGAAATTTGCACTGAAATAATGAATGGTTCTGTCGAGAGATTGCACAAGCCGATTTAAGATATTTAGCACGGATATCATTGCTTTATAAATTATACTAATATACATGTATTTTGTATCGCTTCTGTTGGAAGCTACAAACCCGTATCCGTCGTTCATGGAGCCAACAAGTACTCAGCAATGAGTGTAAAGTTTCTTGCTCACGGAAACAGCGGCTTGCCAATGACAGGGCTTGAACCCGCGCCTTGCTTAGATTGCTAGTCCGACGCGTTAACCACTCGGCCGCCACTCATGGATATACATGATTGTGTCGTAACCTTTAACACGACACTTCAATAATTCAATAATTTTATCCTGACGTATGATAAAATAAATAAGGTCATCAAATGACTTCTTTCAGAAGTAACTTTTATTTACTCTAGCATGGTTACATCTCTTCTGAATTTGCGTTTGTTGTTTTTGTTAATTATATATTTTTTCTCTGAAGGATATGTTTAATAAAACACTTATCATTTTAAAAATGGTTTTTCTGAACATGTATCAGCTGCAAACTTTCTCTAAAGGCCCATTATGCCTCAGATATCTTACCATTTTAATATCTTTAAAACATTTCATTGTTGGTATCTTGTTATAGTTTCCAAAACAATACCACTCATTTACCGTATAAATGAACTACCTTTTGTTTCGGTTGCTTGTAAGTAACTGGTATAATTATTGTGAATAAGTATTATATATGGAAGTAAAAATACTACTTTGTTTACATTTTGCTCCCTTTACGACACATTATTGCATATTCATTGCTATTCTCTTTCGTTGTTAAACATCTAACATTCTCTAAATTCACTATTTAAACATTTAAAAAAAATATTTGACAGTTTTACAGAATAAATAAAAAATAAGAATTTCTGAGGCATCGTGGGCCTATAAATACCAGTACTTTAAAACAAATTGTATGTTTATATAATTATCACTCCTATTTTCCGTAGGATGTCTTGAAAACAAAATACTTTTTATTGTTAATAAAATTTATCGTATTCTCTTGTGGATTTGATGGATATGATTTTGATAAATAGATATATGTTTTAGACACGCTCTCAAAATGTAGATATTCAAGATAGATCATGTTTGTCAAGAGACAGTAGACTCTGAATAAATACGTAAATTATCTGGATACAACATAATAATGAAACTTTGTAAGTTTATACGGAGAAAAATAATTTAAAAAAAAAACGCACAAAAAATGAATTCCTGAAATTGTTGTACATTTTTTCATAACAATAGAAGCTGTTTTGGAAATAACTGTTGAGTGAATGAACCAAAGTTAATGTTATCACTGCGCCTCTCACTGATTCCATATCTATGTCATCCAATACTGATAAAAGAAAGAGATAAATGGGTGACTATTTGGAGTCAGTAAATTGTTTTGGTTTAGTGAGAACTTGTGTCATATTGTACAGTGAGGTTTGTTTGTATGTTTGGAAGACATAAGCATATCTAAAGTGCAATCACCTGTGACAAGTATTGTATCAAAGACCTTAGAATACTCAATATTTGACAGGAGAAGAAGAAAAAATATGGTGGCATGTAAAATGTGCTGAAAAATATTTGTCTGTGATAAATAGAAAAGTTCAAACCTTATATACACGACCCCTGAATGTCTAGGTCTGTTCTTCTAAGAACCGGCAAAGGGTATTTTGACAAAGATAAGTGCTCCTCAATAAATTGCGCGAAACTGAGATCACTGATTCCATATCTATGTCATCTAATAACAATATTTCAGTAATAGATAAGACGTCAAAAATGAATCAATTCAACTCGGAGAATATCTTGTTTAATACCATAGTGTGCAAAATTTTACGTCGATTATTACTTTAAAGGTCATATGCCAACTTTCCAGCTTTACTGGTCGAGGCTCCTTGGTGATTTTATTCAGGCACGAACTAGTACCTAGATATAACTACTGATGTTCTATAAATTATATGGATAATTTTCTGAAATGAAAGAATCCAAAGCCCCTGGCAGAATTAGATCCAACAAGACTGAAAGTAGTTGGACGGCATTAAGCACTAGGCCACGGGCGTCCCTTATAAATGTTTAAACCACTTACATCATCCGATACGGTTGTATCAGAAGACATAATCATGTCGGGCCAGATATTTATACAACACAAATGCAGGTGTCAAGTCAAGTGCTGTGTGGAAGCCGTAAAAAATGCCCAATACTTCAATTCCGTGATGTTACATTTTTCTGATCCTTCGGGATCATTGATTTCAGCCCTTTTAAGTGTTAAAAATTGAAAACCGCTCAAGTCGGTGCTAGGTGGGAGGCATGAGGGATGTTGCAGTTTTTCATTGTCCCTTATGTACAGATTCAATCAAACCGAGTCTGCAATTTTTATGTAATTTTGCAGTTTTTAGTGCTTTCCGAGGCATCACTTTTTTCAAAATATTTGTTATGAACATCGTCAGATGACAAGAGAATCAATGTGAGCCAAAAAATAAATTTGATATTGCGAATCAAAGTCCTTTGATATCCACGCTAACAATGTAATATTGGACAATAATAACCCATTATAACAATACGCCTACATCCATTATGTTGGACTTTGGTTAAATAGTGTTTACGGTGAAGTTCCCGAAAAATGTGACCGAAGAAAAGGTCATTTTATGAAGGAATGAATAGTGTAAAAGAAAGTAAACATTAAACAATACAATAATACTTCTTGTATTGATCGTGCATAGATGTACACACGTGAAATAAAGTGAAAACGAGGTAAGTCTTAAAAATTGAATCAAATATCAATATTATTTTGCGTTTTAAATTAAAATGTAAATATTGCGATTGGCATATTATAACGTTGTTAGTCTTTACATCCAACTTCTACTGTTTTACTTAACGAGTACTTTGCCGTTCAATATGGGGTTTGGTAGTGTATATAATCACTTATAAAACTCTTGCTAAAAGGCATTAATCACAACACAATTATATCAAACTTGTAGGCTCGATTTCATTAAGTCTTTACGTGAGGGATAATGAAAAAGTGCAACATTCCTTACGCCCCATCGCAGCGGTTTGAATGGTACTCAATTTTCAACACTTAAATGTGTTGCGAAGGACCAGAAAATATAACAACCATCGAATATAACTTTACGAAAATGTTGCGAAATTCAAAAATATATTTATTTAATCATTATAACAAAGAAACACCGTGTCGGGAGTTCACTGTATAATTTACAATTTATTTGAAAGTAGGTTTGTAGGTTTTTTATCGGGATTTCACTGTATATTTTCATACAATTTTGACAGGTGATTGGTAATTTTCATTGATTTAACCCACGAAAATATTGAAATTTTTGTTTTGTTTGGTTATGTTTTTATTTGTTTGGGTCGTCAGACCAAACAAATAATGGTAGCGAAATTTCAGAGCGTAATGCTGTTAATTGCAAATGCCTAAAGTCGTCCACTTTTTTGAAGCGGTTACTTCCCTTTATATGTACACTAACGCCGAAAAATTTAGGTGAGATCAATGCGTAAAGATTGTCAAATGACAGGCGCATTAATTTTCAAGCAAAGTAGTTCCTGAAAGGTCGAAGATTTCTAATATTGTTTCATTCTTTATAGATATACATGCTTACAGTAAGCTCCATGATTATTTACATCTGTGTTAAACAACAGGTTTAGCGTCAAAATAATAAGAGTTACATTTGTACAAATCCTTATTTAGAATAATATGGTTTTCTTCAGGCCGTTAATACATAACTTCACTATGGCCGAGGTGTTTGCACGCTCGCTGATGAATCAAGAGGTCTGGAGTTCAAATCCTAGTTGAGGCAGCTCATTTTTTTTTTAAACTTTTAAGTCAAATAAACATTGAATTGACTATCAGTGTTGCAATTAGTATTATAGCCACTTTACTACAGTTAAAACACTGGAAAGCACTGGTGGCACTATACAAAAACAAATAAGTTTATAATCTCACAACCTTTATTTTTCTGACATTCTGAGACCCAAACAAATTAAGCGCCTTCTGTGCTTTAATTTTTAAAGTTTTTGAAATTATATTGTAAATAATAAATATGGTATGCGGTGCATGCAAGATATTATATTACCAATGTACACAGGTGGTTTATTTTTTATTTATTTATTTATTTATTTTATTATTTCTTCATTCATTCGTTCGTCCGTCCGTCCGTCCGTCCGTCCGAGCAAACATTTTGGGTTCAGGGGCTATATAACAGTAAAGAAATAGGTTCATTCCGTGATCAAAGGGTTTAGGGGCTAGTAGCCCTTAAGAAAACAAAGAAAATAACAAAGAAAATAGCCCCTGAAGCCAAAATGTTGGATGTCCGTCCGTCCATCCATCCATCCATCCATCAATCAATCAATCAATCTATCTATCTATCTATCTATCTAGTTTATCTATCTATCTAGTTTATCTATCTATCTATTTATCTATTCATTCAGGAAAATAATGCATCTTATAATTTTGAAAAGCAGATATAGTACTGTGCATTAATTTAATATAAAACAAATAAAACGTACGTTATGAACATATGAAATCTATGATAAAAATACAATATGAATGTGAAATGCGTTTGAAAAAATCCAGGAGTATTCCTTCCATTCATGTATTGAGACATTGCTTAGTACGTAGAAAGCTTTACTATAAAGCCTTTTGTACTGTGGCAGTTGTCGATATACAGTGGGGTCAATCATCCACGGTTTACAACAATCAAGCAAAACTTTTAAGAGTTTAGCAAGTATCCAATAGTTGTCTTAATTTCCTTAACACAAAGTATTTTCTTCTTGACGCTTTAAACACAGCATCTCCATCGTGACGATAGAAAACTACATCATCTAGGTACTCGTAATTTGAAAATATAACAAAGGTCTCTCTTTTCAACAATTTTTGACTGTATTTGTCCAACGGAGCTTTGATGTTCCATCTCGTTTGAACAGGTCTCAAATAGCTTCCGATTCCGTGCCATTCATACTGTGTGACGCTGATAAAAAGATTACGCCTGTCTTTTGTTTCTTCCTCCCCTGTTATCTTCACATAAAACACTGCAAGAAATATGTTCAATACACTTGTTTCTACATATAGTCACAAAATTGCCTATGATTTCAACTAGTGACCTATTATGACAAAAAATGAAAATAAAACTTGTGTAATTTGTATACTATAAAGGAAAATACTCTGTAGAAGTGACAGTACAGTAAAAGTATGCAGAGACAGGTATTTCAACGAAAAAAATATCAAAGTGATTTTTTAAAAAAAATGCTACTGTTTATCAAAAACATTTTTAATACACGTCATATACAGTAGACGTGCCAGAAGGTGATCATCGGCCCTGAAATGAATAATTCCCTCGGGTTGAAGCCTTTTGGGCCATTGTTCTTTTTGCAGGCCGATTATCACCCTCCGGCCCTACTCTGTCGTGTATTAATCTCTATGTAGGATATCTAAAAGTCGGTTTTTTTCAGTTAAACCAAGAACTTTCAAGTATCCAATTTTGATATAAAGAATTCTTACCAAAGTTTTTCCAGCATATTTCGATTATTGTACTAAGCGTTGGCAATTTACCACTGATGAACGCCTCGTTGAGTGAACCATGCTGACAAGGTAAATTGGTTGAGCTTCTTGCAAACACATGTACGCCACAACAGCTGTAAGTATATATAATAAAAAAAGTAATTATCATATCGGAGACATATCCCCTATTACTGATTTAATTTAATAAGACATAGAAATTACACTTCACTCATTTTTCTCATCTTACATAATAAAAGATTGTTGGGCATCATATTCTTGTATCATATCTAGATAACCAATATGTTCAGTGGAAAGTGCGTGCAACATCTCTCACGCCACAATGTACCCCTTTAATATTCAATTTCAATCCATTTAAAGGTACTTACACATGGTTTCTTTCCGGTTTATTGTCATGGATTTTGTATTCATTACTTGTCAACTGACAGCAAGTTTGTTCATTTGGCTGGTATACGTCAATTCCACAGCATCCGACAGTGCCTTTCTTATTAGTATAAGTACTAAATGTTCTTCCATTACAAGTGAATGTAACGTTGCTTTTCAACAAAAAAGAGGATACTTATTAGTTTATTTAACATTTCGTTCACCTGGAGACAAGCAACTTTAAAGTTAAAAGGAATGCTGGGATATATGCATTACATCCAAAACAATAGAATGTTATAATAGATTGAGGTAAATTGTGCATAGTATCTAACCAACTGGAAAACAACGGCAGTGGTTTTAACAAAATAAACACATTTCAAAACAATACGGGAAGCGCAGTCATTACATGTGATATTATGTTAAAAACAACAATGTTATTTAAACGGATATGATAAACATATTACTTTATTAAGTCTTTAAAGACTGTCTTTTTGGGATATACACGTATGTATATTTGATTTTATTATTCAATGTTACAGAGATAAAGAAATACCTGAGAGAAGTGTTATCTGTTGACGACTTATTTGATCGGTCATCTTGTAAAATTATTGAAGTGAAGTTAAGGTTTGTTGTCGGCGGTACCACTAGTGGCCTAACATTTCTGTCCACCACCTTTCCCTCGTTGCATTCCTGTGTTTCGTTGTCATATGTGGTTAAATTTATTCCACAGAAAAAGTTTACACTTACGCTCTCTTGTAAAATTATTGAAGTTGAGTTAAAGTTTGTTGTCGGCGGTACCAATAGTGGCCTAAAATTTCTCCTGTCAATCACATGTCCGTCGTTGCATTCCTGTGTTTCATTGTCATATTTGGTTAAATTTAGTCCAGATCCACAGAATAATTTTACACTTATGCTCTCTGAAAATGTAAAAGAATCTGTTTTAAAATGCGCCAAACACCTACAATATACTTACGACTTTATTTATGTTAACTTTTATATTTACTTATAATGATGCCAGCGATTTTTGTGAATCAATCTTAATTATTATCAAAAGATAATTTTACCTTGGCAAAAACTGATGAAGATCATAAGAAATAAAATCAACGCTCCTACTTTGGACAACATATTTGTTGAATATTTGAATTAATCAAATCTATCCATAAAGTCACTTATATATGTAGCTAATAATGACATGATTTTATTTATAATTCTGATTTTGGATTTTGGAAACCTAAATTAGTAACTTGGTTTTCCATTTTTCATCTACATGTACTTTCATCTTGTTTTATCTATATACGGTGACACAAAGGTACGGTGGCACAAAGTTGACATGTGTGTGTTTTTATTTATCTCGTGGCCACGTGATACTATGTCGTGGCCACGAGTTACTAAGTCGTGCCCACGAGAAAGCTAAGTCGTGCCCACGAGATACTATGTCGTGGCAACGAGTTACTAAGTCTTGGCAACGAGTTACGTTTTATTTAGTTCCGCCCATTGTTTTCTCGTTTAGGGCACACGCTTTTTATTACTTGGGGACCATACGCCGCTTTTCATGGAATGGCACGGAAGTGTCACATTGAAGGTTCCATGATAACCGCCGTATGAACACATCTGTGGATGTTTCTAAATTCAAAATTTTACCATTTCATGTTTAAATGTTAAATTCTGCTTAAGCCGGCGCTTGGGGGCGTGGACGGTAGTTTGCACTATACAGTACCGTCCATGAACAGGCTCAATCAAACCGAGGCTGCAACATTTTCAATTTTGCCGCGTTGGGTTTTCTTTAGGGATTCTTATTTTCTCTATTTTATCGCCTTATCACCGTTGTTTGTGCCGTGTGGAGGCTGTGAAAAAAAGGCCCGTACATTCAATCAGAGATGTTATATTTCCGATCCTTAAAGATCGTTCAGCACGACATTTTTGTTGTGCTTGTGGTATTTTTAGTTTTAACTTTTCGGCATTTTCTAGTTGGGTGGTTCAAATATTCCTACTTGAATAATGTTGAATCACCCTTAGGATATGTTGCCTGCTTTTTAACTTGTCTTTTGACGTCTTATCTGTGATATGCAGGCTTCATAACCTCTGATCCCCTTTCAAAATTCCATTTTATTTAGTTCCGCCCATTGTTTTCCCGTTTAGGGCACACGCTTTTTATTACTTGGGGACCATACGCCGCTTTTCATGGAATGGCACGGAAGTGTCACATTGAAGGTTCCATGATAACCGCCGTATGAACACATCTGCGGATGTTTCTAAATTCAAAATTTTACCATTTCATGTTTAAATGTTGAATTCTGCTTAAGCCGGTGCTAGGGGGCGTGGACGGTAGTTTGCACTTTACAGTACCGTCCATGAACAGGCTCAATCAAACCGAGCCTGCAACATTTTCAATTTTGCCGTGTTGGGCTTTCTTTAGGGATTCTTATTTTCTCTATTTTTTGCCACGAGTTACTTAGTCGTGGCCACGAGATAGCTAAGTCGTGGCCACGAGATAGTATGCCGTGGCCACGAGTTACTTAGTCGTGGCCACGAGTAACTAAGTCAAAAATCAGGGTCACAGTGACGCTAAATGTAAAATTATTGACTAGTCAATAAGTTGTATTAATGGCACTTTTACAGGCTGGAGAAGTAGGGGCATCCTTGTGCTTATAGCACATGTCTAGTTAATTAGGGAAATTCATAAACTGTAAATGGTGCAATCTGATTGGTTATTTATCTCGTGGCCACGACTTAGTAACTCGTGGCCACGACATAGTATCTCGTGGCCACGACTGAGCTATCTCGAGGCCACGACTTAGTAACTCGTGGCCACGACATAGTATCTCGTGGCCACGACTTAGCTATCTTTTTATATACTATAATTCAACTTACGCAGCGACTGCGTTAAGACTTTTTAATATAACAGTTTGAGATTGATACATATGGAATTTTGCATGACTACAGTTGCATCAAAAAATCATTTATGTTCATTTTTATGACAGCCACACTTTATCCTTGAATATCGTGGCTTCTTCCTTAAAGTAGGATTTGAACCCCAGACCTCTCATACCCTAATCGAGCGCGCTACTACTGAACCACGGTGAAGTAATACGTAGGTAGCGTGAATAAAAACAAATACATTGTAATTCTTAATTGAGAATTTTCATTTCGTGTTTGTAATCCTTATTAATTCCGAGGTATTTTGATCACGATAAACCTGTTGTTTAACACTGATGAAAATAATTTAGCGAAAATTTTCTCGCCAAAAACAGTCCAACATGTATATATTCCACTACTCGACAGTCAGATTTATTTGTGTACTACGCTCTGGAGTATTCCGTAATCGACATCGCTAGAAATAGCATATTCATTTATTAAAATGATATTCATCCGCGTAATTTGTGATTGTGCATTTATTGCCAATTCTATATTCTTTTAAACTTTGAATGCGTTGTAATTTGTTGGATACTGGTAACAAAATAAAAATATTTCTTTCTTTTACATCGGTAGTTTTAAGCTGTTTTGAGAACTACTTGTTGTTAGGTTTGTCGTGAAATTATGTGTCAGAGATTGAATGTCAGCATTGAATTTTCTGATCTGTGATCAGAAAATACAAAAATGATATGGTATCTAACTTCACACGTTATGCAATATAACCAATGTTCTGTGTTAAACAACGTGATAATCCAATAGTAATCATTATCGGACCCAGTTTTATAATTTAAGCCTCGTTTCCATTTTCATTCAAAACATCCATACCAAATACATATCACACCCCATAATTTCAAGGGTACAAAAATGTATAAAACATCAAATGCATATCATACCCTGTATAGATTATTTTTTAAGAGTACTTGTGACAGCGAACAATAGGTACTATCCAGACGACACTTGGTAATTTGGCTTCAGGAAACCAGATATTGTAAAATATTTGTGTTTTGGATGACATAAGTGTATTATCATAGCATATTGACTCAAATACTCAAAAGATAAAAAAAAAATCACGTGAAAGTGTCCCCCTTTTCTGTGTTTTAACTTTTTAGTTATAACTGCATGTAATTTTAAAAATAAATGTATAATATTTGATATGATCTTTGTTCTAATATATGTTTCGGTACGTATTTAGCACATGTAACAAAGTAAGTACATGTAAGAGATCAGCCTATTGGAAATAAAGCCTTGGGTTTCAAGGTACATTCCAATGTTTTTTTGTTGTTTTTTTTAAACACTCATTACACCTGCTGACCTTTTTACCTAATTTTCTAAAGATTGAAAGACCTAATTTTATCAAAAAAAGTACTATGGATTAACAAAACCCATGCTTTTCGTTCAAGGCATGTAGAATAATATATTTGTCTTGAACCATACTTGTTATGAAAAGGGAAATTTATGTAATTTTTATTATTTTGATTATTTTAGGAAGCAACTTTAAGAACAAATCGCACTTCCCATGTACTTTTTACTCGATTTTAAACAAATAAGTGCATTATTCTACTTGCTTATCGGAATAAGATTTTTTAGCTTTTAAATTAACTGAAAACCGTTTTCTGCTGGTTGTCAAAAAATCATTTGTATGTCAATGTTCAAATGTAAAGGTCAGAGTAAAAGTCAAATTATTTCGGAAAACAAACTATATTTCACACTTTTTGAAACTTATCAATATCAAGTTGTTCTTCTTGACATTGGGCTTTAAAGTTTTGTTGCATATTGTTTCTATAAAGTGTAAACGAAAATTACTTTAATCTGTTGTAAAAGCCTGTAATAAGTAACAATTTAATTTTCAATTCAACTGTTGTATAATGTGGTTGTCTATCTGCTCCAATATGAGAGAACTCGTCTTATCATCTCTTAAGAGTTCCCTTATTGTTACAAATTTGTGTTTCATTCTAAGCCTGTGTCATTATATTTGAGGACTGCTTCTATGAATCTTGGGTTTGATCCGCGGTAATCCCACATTCGAATTTGAAATATCTTAGTCTATTCGATTCATGTTAATTTAAAACTTATATCATTGTGAGTTTGTATGCATGGGTATTTTAAACATAGATAATCATCAAACTTGAATGCTGTCTAAACCTAATTTTCACACTTTATATGAAACTCTAGGTAATATTCGGATAATTATATACGAGCAAGAATCAGATATGTAGAAAAAGTTGTGACCTATTTATCTACTTACTTTCTACATGATAGATGTAACACAGATGGCCAAGATTTGGACGATTCGATCGTTCATTATTCCGAAGTTATTCAGATTGTCTTGAATGGTTCTCGTGGTCATATGGCGATTTTCCAGCTTTACTGGTGCAGGAAGACCTCGGGTACCTGAGTAGAACTACCGACGTTCCGTTAGCTAGTTGGATAGCTTCCTCACATGTACGGGCAGGATTCGCATCCAAAACGTTTAGGGCAAGTGACAGATGTTGCGCTCAACAAATAGAAAATATTGATTGAACAAGATTAATTTCTGAAATCAACATAACCCCTTAACCAGTAAAAAGATTCCCCGTGTTCCACATTGTTTGGCAATAGAACATATAGTAGGTTTTTCACCTTTCTATAACTATAATTTTGATAGCGGAAATTTTGTATATAATTTTATCGGTGGTTTTGTATCTTGTATCTTAAAGTCACCCTTAGAGTGTTGATTTTTTGCATTTCTGTAATGTTATTGTCAAAGTAATGATAACTTATATCTTTTTCGGTCACAAAATAATATATCTTAAAGATTACAATGAACTTAATGGTGTGATTAAATCCAATAAGTGTTCATTAATACAAAACAATATATTATGTTGATTGGACGGAATGGATATCTATAAAGTTGTACATTTTGTTTCTGTTTTTTTTTTTTTGTTTTTTGTTTGTTCCTGTTTGTTTTTTATGATGTCCTGATTATCTCATTGTAAATATTGTTTATTGAAATTAATCTAGCAATCAATCGATATCTTTTACTTTAGTTAATACAATTGGCTTTGCAAATCAAGAGACCATTAAATATCAAAGGCCTTACATCAAGCCATTTCTGAATTTATTTTTCAGTTCCAGAGGCAGTCGTAAATTATTCCACTGAGTTCACGTACATACATATTTCATGTGAACGTGCTCTTATTCATTATTGACGAACATGTCCCGATACCAGAATTGGGTTAATAACCATATATATAATAATATATATGTATAATTAAAAAACGCAACATGTTTCATACTTTAGAATACTTGTACCGTTTTCTTCTCTAGTTATATTGTGTTGCATTTTTCACGTTTGATTTTTAAGTTTGTGACATAGATTTACAGTAGTACTATATATACATCAGTTAGTGGGATTGAAATAACAATTTTGTATCAACTTAGTCTCTTCACTACTGGAAGACCATAAATAAACGGACGGAAAATGTGTAAATTATTAACCAAACAGTCGCTAGGCTAATAAATAATTCATTTTTCACATTTTCAACTTAACGAAATCTTTTGTTGTTTTGCGTAGCAATTCAACCCTTATTTTTCTAGGAGTTACAGATTCTAGTCATGCGACCAGACGAGGCGGCACACCCGTGTCGTTAGCTTATTGACTTTCAGTCAATGCACATAGTGAAATGTTCAATGAAATAATGAATGGTTTATCCGGAGATTGGACAAGTCGATATAAGATATTTAGCATGGAAGGTATTTTCATCATAACAGTCAACAAATGTAGAATTTAACCGATGGAAGTACTTCCGGACAAAATTATAGAAGATCATACAAGACAAAAAAGATCAAATGTGCTTTGTGATTTAACTTATGTTAAGATATACATTTTTTCTTATTCTGCGCTTTAATAGTAATATACACAAGTGCTGTTTTTCTTTGCTCATACGTTAAAGTTACAATTTAATTTAATTCAATTCAAATATAATATTTTCGTCTCTTCACATGTACAACATATACATCGCAATCAAAATTAATTAAAACTGGTAAGAGTATATATGCCATTCATTACAGAATTATATCAGACGTGTAAGCAAAGCTTACTAAAAGTCATATTTACATTCTTATATAATTATATACAATACACACATTACATGAAATGTATTGGGAATGCTGTGAATCTATCATTTTGTCTAAAAGTCCATATATAAAACAATTCTCTAGTCTGTTAATGAAATTACAAAACAAAAAATACTAGAATGTACAAAATACACTTAAAAACCTAATGAAAACATTACTCCTAACCAATTAAACAAATCCAGTCGTATCGATGCAACACCGCATCTAAATAATGTCATAGCTCTTCGATAATGAAAAGGCAAATGTTGCTTACATAAGTTTCAGTTTCAAAAACATTCTTGAACATTCTATATGTTCTAGGCTTATTTCTATCATTTCCAGAAATTGATGACACTCGTTCTAATGATTGTTTCCATTTATTAACTTCTAAATGGAGTTAAATATACCGACACTTTAAAATAGTTAATTTATTCACATGACTGCCTTGTAACCTTAACCTAGCTACTTTAAGGAGACGCACTCTAATGCTATTTTGCTTTTGAAACCAACTAAATTCTTCATTATCGTATTAGCAATTAACTTGATACATACAATTCTACAAAAATATATAACGGTTTTCAGTTGTTTTTTGTTCTTTTAAAATCACAATAGTGTAAGACTACCTTTATAATTCAACTGGTATCCTTACATAATGATGAAATGTGGGCAGTCATAAAATCACTTTACTTTTATTTACTCTAACATTATTACATCTCTTGATTTTTACTCAATATTTTTGTTGATCATAATCTCTGACGAATATGTTTAATAATACATTTATTCATTTTGAAAATGCTCTTTCTAAACATATATCAGCTGCAGCCTACGCAAACTTTCTTTAAAGGCCCATTATGCCTCATTTTGATTTTCCTAAAACATTTCATTAATGGTATTTTGTAACAGTTTCAAAAACAATATTGTTTTGCCGCATAAATTAACTACCTTTTGCTTCTGTTGCGTTTTAAGTAATTGGTATAATTATAGTGAATTAGTATTATTTATGTAAGTCAAAATACGACTATGTTTACATTTTGCTACCTTTACAATACATAACTGTTTGTTCACTGCTATTCTCTTCATTTGTTAAACATCTAACATGCTTTAAATCCACTATCTAAACATTTTAAACACATATTAAGCTGTTTTAATGAATTATAAAATTAATGGATGTCTGAGGCATTATGGGCCTTTAAATACCAGTACTTTATAATAATTTGTATGTTTATGAACTACTCCTTTTTCCATAGGATGTCTCGAAAACAAATTAGTTTTCATTGTAAATATTGCCTATCGTATTCTCTGGTGGTTTTGATGAATATGTTTTTGATAAATAGATAAATGTTTTGGACACGCTCTCAAAATGTAGATATTCAAGATAGATCATGTTTGCAAAGAGACAGTAGACTCTGAATAATTACGTAAATTATCTGGATACAACATAAAAATCAAACTTTGTGATTTTATACGGAGATAAATGATCAAATGATACGCACAGAACAAAAAAATGAATTCCTAAAAAAGTTGTACATTTTGTCATTACAATAGAAGCTGTTCTTGTGAAATAACTGTTGAATGAATAAACCAAGTTTAATGTATATAATTGCTTCTATTGTAAGTTTAAATAATGTTATTGATTAAAAGTTTTCAATTTATTTTTGCCACAAATATTCGATTAAAGAAGAAAAATCGAAAAATCGTAATTTAGCAGGCGCTGGTGCGTGCATGAGCTTGAAGGAGATACTTCATTTTCAGATTATTGAAATCATAGATTCTCATGAAATCACTGATTTCATATCTATGTCATCCAATACTGATAAAAGAAAGAGATCAATGGGTGACTATTTGGAGTCAGTAAATTGTTTTGGTTAAGTAAGAACTTATTTCATATTGTACAGTGAGGTTTGTTTGTATTTTGGAAGTCATAAGCATATCTAAAGTGCAATCACCTGTGACTAGTATTGTATCAAAGGCATTTAGAATACTCAATATTTGTCTTGACAGGAGATGAAGAAAGAGGAAAAATTGAATGGCATGTAAAATGCATGTAAAAATATTTGTCTGTGATGAATAGAAAAGTTCAAACCTTATATACACGACCCCTGAATGTCTAGGTCTGTTCATCTTAGAAACGGTAAAGGGTATTTTGACAAAGATAAGTGGTTCTCAAGAAATTCCCAAAACTGAGATCACTGATTCCGTATCTGTCATCTTATAGCAATATTTCAAAAATAGATAAGACGACAAAAAAAATTATTGATTCATCTCGGAGAATATCTTGTTTGTATTAGATACTTTGAGCATCATAGTGTACAAACTTTTAAGTCAGTTTATAACTTTAACGGTCATATGCCAATTTTCAGCTTTACTGGTCGAGGTAGACCTAAGATGCTACACTTTGATGTTGTCGAATTGATCGTGCATAGCTGTGCATACTAGAAATAAAGTAAAAATGAGATAAGTCTTAAGTTATCAATCTAATGTCCTAAATCTTTGTATTGTATTGTTTTGCTTTTTAAATAAAAGTGTAAATATTGCAATTGACGTTTTATAATGGTGTTAGTCTTTACATCAAACTCTTGCTGTTTTACTTTAGTAAACGGTTTACGAGAACTTTGCCATGCAATATGGTGTTTGGTAATGTATATAATCACTTATAAAGGTTATCCCTCGGAAGCATTAATCACAACACAATTATATGAAAATTGCAGGCTCGATTTCGTGAGGGATAATAAAAATTACGCCCTTAGTACCCGTTTGAGCGGTACTCAATTTTCAAACTAGAAAAATATAGCAACCCTCAAATTTAACTTTACGAAAATGTTGCGAATCACAAAAACATATATAATCATTAAAACAATGTAACACTATGTTGGGAATTCATTTTATAATTGACGATAAATTTGAAAGTAGGGTTGTATGTCTTTTTATCGGGTTTTCGCTGTTTATTTTTTATTCAATTTTGACAGGTGATTGGTTATTTTCATTGATTTTACCCACAAAATATCTAAACTTTTGTTTTATTTAATTAGGGTTTTTAAAAGTTTAGAAACCGGTATGAACTATTATACAATTATTGACTAGTGAGCCATTGAAAATGATGTGATATTCACCGGCAGATGACATATTGACCGAGGCGATAGCCGAGGTCAATATGACTTTCTGCCAGTGAATATCACATCATACTCAATGGCTCACTAGTCAATATTTGTTTTATTATATGAATAGGCTAAGAATTTTAAAAAATCACGAAAAATTACAACCTTATATACATGTACAAATTTTGCCTCGTTGAAGCGCGGGAAAAAAAGACGCAAGTGCGAGGCGTGCAACGACGACGCGAACGCTGCGCATACAAAAGTAATTCAAGTTTATACTCATCGATGCGGTTTAGCCTTTAAGTATAACAGTAAAGTAATGATATTTCAATCGAGAAATATGCCATAAAGAACAAAACGCAACAATTAATTTTTAATTTACACACGTAATTAACAGTCTACGGTGTATGGTCATTGAATATGAGTCTCAATCTATTTTTAGACTGGGAAAATCCAATTCAGCCAGTTAATATGATACTACACCCAGTGAATATGATTTTATAAAAAGTTCTGTTGACTACAGTTTGGACCAATGAGATTGCAGCTATTTTTAGATCATATATTAATATATTGTAAATAATTAACATGGTATGCGGTGCATGCAAGACATTTAATTACCAATGTACAAATGCGGTTTATTTTATATATTTATTTATTCATTCATTCATCCATCCATCCATCTATCCATCTATCTATCTAATTATTTATTCATTCAGAAAAAATAATGCATCTAATTATTTGAAATGCATATAATTATAGTACTGCGCATTATTTAACTATAGAAAATATAGAACCATAAAATAAAAGGAACATTATAAACAATCTATGATAAATAAGTACATTATGAATGTGAAGTGTGATGACTAGATCCAGGAGTATTCCTTCCATTCATGTATTGAGACATTGCTTTGTACGCAAAATACTTTACTATAAAGCTTCATGTTTTGTATTTATGTCAGGCCTGTGGCAGTTTTCAATATATAATGGGGTCAACCATCCACGATTTATAACAATCATGCAAAACTTTATAGTGTTTAGCAAGTATCCAATAGTTTTCTTACTTTCTTTAACACAAAATGTTTTCTTCTTGAATCTTTAAACACCACATCCCCTTCGTGACGATAGAAAAGTTCATCATCTAGGTACTCGTTATTAGAAAATATCACAAAGGTCTCTCTTTTCAACAATTTTCGACTATATTTGTCCAACGGAGCTTTGATGTTCTCTCTCGTTTGAAGATGTCTCAAATTTCTTCCTGTTCCGTTATATTCATACTGTGTGACCCTGATAACAAGATAACGCCTGCCTTTTTTTTCTTCTTTCCCCGTAATCTTCACATAAAACACTGAATTGCAATTTTTAAAGTGTAATTAATTGATTGATTCGTTAGCATTTAAAAACATAATGTCATGAATACTTATTTTACGATAAAATAGCAATGATCGAGTTAGTATTTAGAGTTGATTGACAAGTTATATCGAGTGCTGGTTGCGTAACAGTTGTAACTGATTTGATATACAGAAAGAGGTACAACCTTTTATCACCCTGCCCTCGATAAGTACATTTGTCATATCTCAGTCTTTTGATTTCAGTTGCGACTTCATAACATGCATGTGTTTTGTAAAATGTTTGAGATAGATATTTACTTCTTGCATTTTTTTTCTGCACTGTTATGTTTAAGTTTTGTGACATGAAATCTAAAATACATCTTAGAATGCGTATACAATGTATATCTGAATTTATGTTTTTTTATACTTATTCATATTTCAATACTCATGATTTTGAAATTAATTAAGTAGAAAAATGATGAAAGATTTATCAATAAACATAGATTACCAATACTTGTTTTGCTTCTTCAGTTGACTGTATTAAATTTCTCAAAGACAATTTACATTTCGTTAAGTTTTAATCGCCTATTAAGTGAGTGGGGTTTTCTTCTGGTTTTATTGTTGTTGTTTTTTGGGGGGATTGTTTGTTGTTAGTACTTTCAAGTATCCAATTTTTGTATTAAGAACTCTTACCAAAATTGTTCTTGCATATTTCAGTTATTGTACATGACCAAGCAGGGTATTTTTTTCTAAGCGTTGGCAATTTACCATCTAAGAACGTCTCGTTGCGTGAACCATGCTGACAAGGTGGATTGGTTGAGCTTCTTGCAAACACATGTACGCCACAACAGCTGTAAGTTTATATAATAAAAAAAGTAATAATTATTATCATCTCGGAGACATCTGCCCTATAAGTGTTTTGTATTAAAAAATAATTAAAGACCATGTATGTTCTATGTTGTAATAAAAGGATTTAACATACAGCTAAGAGAAGTTTTCTTTAATTATGCATATAATTATTCTTCTAATCAAAAAACAATTTCCACAAACATCCAAGAATATGTTAAATATGTACAGCAAATGTTTATATACATTATAATTAAACTTTAACCCTGACAGACATTTCAGGAATTCATGATTTAAGGCATAGAAATTACACTTAATTTAACTTTCTCATCTTACATAATAAAAGATTGTTGGCCATCATATTCTTGTACTATATCTAGATAACCAATATGCATATCTTCAGTCGAAAGTCCGCAACACCATGTTACCCTTCTATATTCAATTTCAATCCATGTTAAGGTACTTACATATGATTTCTTTCCGGTTTATTGTCATGGATTATGTATTCATTACTTGTCAACTGACAGCAAGTTTGTTCATTTGGTTGGTATACGTCAAAGCCGCAGCATCCGACAGTGTCTTTCTTATTAGTATACGTAACGATGATTTTTAACACGATGCTTTTCAACAAAGATAAAGAGAATACGTATTAGTTTATTTTACATTTATTTAGAGTTTTGAAATATGCTTGAAACAAATTAATGCAAATTTTGATCAATTTGTTGTTTCGAAACTTTTATTCATTTTATCAATCAAAGGAAGTAGGAGAAAATTGTTGAAATATGAGTGAGTCTACATGAAATATTCGTCCTATGCTCGTAAAATGTTTGTGTATGTTTTTTTTTGTTGTTGTTGTTTTTTGTGTTGTTTTTTTTTTGGAACCACGTTTAAGGCCCGTTTATTTACATTTATTACTTTATACATAATACATTCATTTTACATTTTCTAATTAATAATTTTACATAACATATGTTACAAACTAATATATATGTTGTTGAAGACATTTAAAAATAATTTCAAAGAGCTTATTGCTTCAAAGTTGTTGTTGTTGTTGTTGTTGTTGTTGTTGGTGGTGTTGTTGTTGTTGTTATAATAATGTAAGCCATGTCTATTGTGCATATACGATACACAGTGATCCTTACATAGAATGTTATATAGTGTAAATCACACATGTATTAGTTCTGCACAAATATGATATATATTTGTTTGTAAACATCTGCAGGGAATCCAAGGGATTTAAGCATAAAAATGTATGGTATGAATCCGTAGATTTGCCGCTTTAAGATCAAACGGATAGGATATGTCCTCTGTAGCAAGGTGTTAAAAAATATTTAAAAGCACACACACGATATTTCTTTAAAACACTGACTAAACGCACACTAAGATTTTTGCAAATGCAACTTTTCGGCCCTTTCCTAAAGAGATCGAACACAATGTAAGAGTACACAGAACGGATATGGTATTTCGATCTTACCTACCCATGCAAACAAATGGTATTTAATTAAATGCTGGGAGTTGTTGACAAGTGTGATACGTAAATTCATAGATATAATTATAAACAGTACATTACTTATGTACTTATTATTGCATTTTTGAAACCGAAAGAACAAAATTCCAGTCTATTGATATGTTTATAAGTTTATCCATCAATGGGCTCATTTAAATTAAACATGGTTGTCAGACATATTTTCAATCATAACTCTACCAAAAAAGATGTTATTTTTCCTTTGGATGTCCAATATATACATTCGTTATTAAACTCTCTGTTTTTGTTTACATCTGAAATTACTTTCAAACATGATAGCCAAGGACGATCAGATTGAGAATTTTGTTTAAACTATTTTTTCATCGCGACTGTTTAAAATCAAAGCATGATAAATGTACCAAAACTGTTATACGTTTAAGCTACTTATCTTGGGGGTTACGCCATATATTTAAAGTTTTCTTCTTTTTTTACCGAGTGTATAGAGTTATTCGGTCTAGGATCCCACGAAAAAACAGAAATACTACTGAAGCGTAGAAAATTCTTGTGATTCCGTGTTTACTGAAGCGAAAATTTGTTGTTAAATGTTTTGTTTATTTTTCAGATTTTTTTTTACTTTTTTTTTTTGATTTGATTTATCATGGTTTTTTTATCAATGGTGATATCAATCGCATCTCCTCAGCCCTTACCAAGGAACTCGAACTACAGAGAACGGAAACGCTAAGAAACTCAACATGTAAACAAATAGTAATTCAATGCTTGGAGTTGTTGACTGAGTTAAATCCACAAAATCGAGTAATTGTCTACCTCAATTAAGTACATTTATAGATATAAAAATAAACAATACAACATTTATATACTTATTAAAATGCTTATTAAAATGGTTGTAGAATCCAAAATTACAAAATGTCTACCTGTTCATATTAATTGGGATTTTGTTATAATTATTGTGCATAAGTGGGCATTAGAATTGTCAGATTTGTTTTTCAATCATGACTTTATCGAAATAGACCTTATTTTCCTTTGGGTGTCAAATATATACTCCTGATACATGATCAAAGATTACAACTTCGGTTTTTGTTTACTGGTAGAACTAATTTCAAGTCGTATCAAGTCCGAGTTAATTTTGAAAAATAGACGATGTTTTCCAATGGCTTGATTATTTGACATGTGGGCATCGAACGAGAATGAAAGAATTACATGGTCCGAAAATTACAAAATGTTTTTGAAATCATTTCCACATTTTCTACAACTATATTATACGTATCATACTTAAGAAGTTGGCAGTCGACTGTGCTTAAACCTCTTTAAAATTCTACAAGGTTTCAATCTTTTCAAATTCTGTCATAGCATTTAATAAAATGCGCCCTGGTGAATCTTATATTTATTAAATCTTAATTGTATGCTTTGATATATCATCATTTTCTAAAATATAATCCTGAAATTCTTCTAAGTGAACAATGAAACTAAGCTTATCTACTGTATGACAATCTAAATCATCTCTTAAGAGAGTATGGCCTAAATTATGTTTCAGATTTCTATCAGATTCAGTTGTTTCCAGAACAAAATAAAGAAGTAAATGTATTTCATCATGAATAATTAAAAGATTTGAGATTATATTGGATACGTGTCTTATGGGATTTTACCATTCAAAATCCATTATTGTTAAGAAATATTGTCAAACCAGTATGTGCATAACATAACCAAAACAATGAAACATCAATTCATTCATTATACAAAGTATCTAACCAGCTGAAAAACAACGTCGGTAGTTTTCACAGTAAAACTTTTACAGTCAAAACATTATGGTATTATGTTAAAAAGTACTTTAAATAAAAATTAACACAAAACTTGAAGTTTTTGCTACATAAGTTTTGCTTATAATGTTGGTACATGTCTGTTTGCTTTGAATTTTTCTTGTCTGTTTGTATTTTTGATTTTGAGGGATTGTTTTCTCGATCGTTTCTTTGTTAGTTTTTTTTTTAATTTTGTTTGTTTGTTGTTGTTTGTCACATTGATCCACAATTTTCTTTTCTTTTTTATAAAGATTTTGAAAGAACCTTGATCTTTTCGTAACAGTTTAACACTGGTTATATCAAACGTAGTCGCCTTAAAAATAGACAATTTGAAGAAACAATTTAAATAAAACAAGTAAGGTTGTCATGTGGTATATACACGCGTGTATATTTTATTTCATTATTCAATGTAAAAGAAATACCTTATCATTGGTGAGCTATTTGAATCATCATCTTTTGTTGTGAAGTTAACGTTCGTTGTAATCGGCATCACTAGTCGACTTAAATTCCTGTCCATCACTCTTCCGTCATTGCATTGTTGTGTTTCATTGTCATATTGCGTTAGATCTTTACCACAGAACAAGTTCACACTTTCGCCCTCTACAAGTAAAATAAACAATAAAGTAAAAATCTGTTTGAAAATCTGCCGAACAAGAACAGCATATGTCTGCCTTTATTACTTTTATACTTAGATGATTCCTACGGATAAATTTGTAAAAATGAAATTCTTATCAAAATGTAATTTTACCTTTGTAAAAACTGATTAAAAGAAAGAAAATCGTCGCTACAACGTAGGAGAACATGTTATGTAATGACACAATAGGTACTGCAAGAATTAATTTAAAATCGTTTTACTACATCTGGTTTTCATTTGAAAATCTATCTCTATATATATATCTTTAAATTCATTATTCTATTTTTGGCTTGTTTTGGAAAAGTTATTCTGGTTAGGTGGTTTCCTGCTTACATTTGTAATATTGAACAGAAAACCAGTCTAGGTTTCCGCTGCAATCGTGACAATTCGTGCGATTCCGTCATACTGCGGAATCAGACGAAGTAATATTACGGAAATCTAAGCTATTTTTAGTTACTTTGGTAATACCAGTTTGTTTATATAAATAGGATTTCTATTTTTACTTGATTTATCGGTTAAAAGCAGAAATAAATTATAAACGAAAATGTTTTCTTTGATTACATTATCTTTAATTAATAAATAGGACAGCGCGTTTATAATCAAATTGAAAATACTACATAGATAGACCACACACACAGGCGCACGCACACGCACACGCGCACGCGCGCACACACACAATCAAGTTGCACGAGTTTAGAAATAAATGGCAATTTTAAAATTAGAAAATAAAATAAATAAAAGTGGCTGAACCTACGAGTTTACATTTATATTCTTGAAGTGAAAGACTTTTACCGACTGTGCTAAGAGGAATTTATAATTTAGACCATTTAACAACTGGTTATATACATTACTATAAATTTATAAGTAGATAGTAACGTTTACAGAATTTACCAACTATGTGGTCAAATGCAAGAGTGCCAGGTCAATATTGTTGGACAATATTTTGAAAACTGTGAATTTGTGGGCGTTCTGCTGATGGTTTTTTTTTTAGTCATTTTTATATCAAGCGAATATAGTTTGCAGTTTGATAGTTTACATAATATTTTATTCGTTTATTGAAGTATTCTTCCCAAATATTATATTAAAAAGAAAATAGTCATGTGACAATTTATAAGCTTCACGTGACAATTAAAAGCTCCATGAAAAATGTTAAAAATCATGTGACTTCATTTGACATTTCAGAGGCTTAAAATAACCTTTGTTCTGTTAAATTTTTTATTACGCTGTATTTTACACCAACCTGCTTTGCACAATGCTACTGTTGTAAACGCGATATGATTCTGTAACGTGATGATACGACGCACACGTCAAATATTTGTGGTTTGGGTGATATTTGTTTACTATCATAGCATATTGACTCAAATACTCTAAAGATAACAAATAATCACGTAACATTTCTCCCCTATCGTATATTTTAACTTTTAGCACATGTAACAAAGTAGGTACATGTAAGAGATCAACCCTCCGTAAAAATGTTATCGCACGGCCATGCATATTTTTGGCATGACGTCATTAGCGATAAGATAAAAGGTGCGCTAAATGTAAGCGTACACTATAGGCGCATCAATGAAATATAATTCTTTTGCAGTTTAAACAGTTTTTATTTTGGGTATGTGATTTATAGAATATTATATAGGTGTAGGTCTATTACTGAATTTATTAAACACGTTCAATAAAATAATAACTTGCTCGACAGAGGCTCGCATTTTATAATTTTATTCATCTCGTTCAATAAATTCGGTATTTAAATTACACTCATTCAATATCCTCTATGTTTATATCTTTTTCGTTTGTTGTTTTCTATAAAATTATATCTGCTACTCTCACATCTTTTCGTTAAGGTAACCTTTGTTTGTCTTTTAATAAAGATTAATGCTATCTCTTTACTGTTGTTAGACAAAAAAGGTCAAATAAAAAAAGTATCTCTTAGATATAACCCGGTTGTGGTGACATAAAACTATTGTTAATTAATGCACCAATGTTATGTACCTTGGAATTATGTGAGCTTTATAATTGTCTCTTTGTTCAAAATTGTTTTTAAGGACAATTTATAAAACGTAATGTATTTTTATTTGGAGTGATGGTTTAAAGAAAAAAGTGCGTTTTGTTCATTTAAGTCGGAAACAAGATAGTCATTCGGATTTAGTGTCAAATATTTTTACTTATAGATATTCTTAAATCATACAATTTGAAAAAATAATATTTATTATAATATAAGACTATATAGATTGTACACATGGACTATTTGAATGAGCACATACAAAATTTGACAAGATTTGGATGGATGCATAAAAGATTTTAATGTGAATTATAAGTAAACTGTTTCAAGGTTGCATGTCAGCAGATGCAATTTTATTAGTTTGTACTAACTTTTTTCTCAAAATGTATGCATTACACATTTAATAAAACTATATACAATTACTTAATATTTCTACGATCAGCCGCTATCCTTTATTTTTATTCTTTTACTACGTTTAATAAAGCTATTGTCGAGATAATAAAGTGTCTGAAAACGAGGGCCAAAGTGATATCACTCAATTTGTTTAACTAATCTGTGATCTTAGCATTGACATACAATCTTATGCTGGAATTACCCAATATAATAATATAATTTTACAATATTGAGGATTTGTTTGTACTAGGTGGAATCATGCATTTCCTATTAATTACAGAACGGGAACGAAGCCTATTTCTTAAAAAAAAAGACTGATTCAAAACAGAAATAATATTACGTTTCCGTGTAGCAACTGTGAAAATATGCCCGCATTTCATTTTATAGTTACCGCCGAGATCGTCAAGAAACTAAAACGGGTCTAGCATTTCCAGAATATTTGTTTGTTTTTTTGTTTTTTTCTTTGTCTATTGCTGTTGATTTATGTTTAATTTATTTTCATTTGTTGCTGTTCGACATCCTACATCAAATGCTTCACAAATTTCAAAAAAAAAAGTACCAACTCTTCATGTTAAAAGTTCAATGTCCCTTTATAGTTCTTACGCTTAATTAATTTAAAAGAATAGAAGCACCTTTTGTGTCTCGCATACGCAAGCGCATGCACGCTCGCACGGACACACACACACACACACACAGACACACAAAAACATCTAGCCTAAAGACAAAATGTACTAAAAAAATTTATTCCTGCTAAAATATCTCAGATACAAAGAGATAATAAAATGTTTTCCTTTTTTCGGCTTTGCATTTTCTGTGATTTTTATTTGTTTTGGTCGTCAGACCAAAAAAATAATGGTAGCGAAATTTCAGGCCCTGATGCTGTTAATTGCAAATGCCGAAAGAAGTCTGCTTTTTGAAGGCGCATTATTATCAAGCAAAATAGTTCCCGAATGGTCGAAGATTTCTAGTATTGTTTTATTCTTTATAGATATACATGCTTATAGTAAGCTCCATGATTATTTACATCTGTTTTAAACAACAGGTTTAGCGTCGAAATAATAAGAGTTACAACCCCTAATTTAGAATGTTATGGTTTTCTTCAGGCCGTTAACATATAACTTCACCGTGACCAAGGTGTGTACGCTCGCTTAAGAATCGAGAGGTCTGGAGTTCAAATCCCAGGTAAGGCAAGTCAATTTTTTTAATTGTTTGAGTAAAATAAACATTGAATTGAATATCAGTGTTGAAATTAGTCTTATAGCCAAATAATTACAGTTGAAACACTGGAAAGCACTGGTGGCAATATACAAAAGCAAATTGGTTTATGCTCTCACAACCTTTACCTTTATGACATTCTGAGACCCAAACAAATTCAGCACCTTCTGTGCTTTGATTTGTCAAAGTTATGATAGGTTATATCTTTTTCTGTCACAAAATACTATATCTTAAAAATTACAATGACTTTAAGAGTGTGATTTCATACAATTAGTAGTAGTACATACAAAAATGTACATTATGTTGACTGACATGCCAATCTATAAAGTAGTGCATTTTTTTCCTGTTTTGTGTACGTTTTTACTGTTTTTTGTATTGTCTTTTTAATATCAAAGACCTTACATATCAAGCCATTTCTGATTTTTTCAGTTCCAGAGGCAGTTGTAAATTATTCCACTGAGTAGAGTAGACGTACATACATATTTCACGTGAACGTGCTTTATTTCATTATGTGATGAATATGTACCGATACTGAATTTGGATTAATATCATATATCTGTAATTAAAAATCGCAACATGTTTCACAATTAAGGATATCCGTACCGTTTTCTTCTCTAGTTATATGCGTTGCATTTTTCACGGTTTACTTTCAAGTTTGTGTAATAGATTTACAGTAGTACTATATATACATCAGTTCGAGTGATTGAAATAACAATTTTGTATTGTTATATACTAGTCAATGTAGTCTATACCATAAATAAAAGGATGGAAAATGTGTGAACTATTAACCAAACAGTCGCTAGAGTAATAAATGATTCATTTATCACATTTTCAATTAAACGAAAACTTGTTGTTTTGCATAGTATTTCAACCCTTATTGTTCTAGGAGTTACAGATTCTAGCCATGCGACCAGACGAGGCGGCACACTGTGTCGTTAGCTTATTGACTTTCAGTCAATGCACATAGTGAAATGTTCACTGAAATAATGAATGTTTTATCCGGAGATTGGACAAGTCGATATAAGATATTTAGCATGGAAGGGATTATCAGCATAACAGTCAACAAATGTAAAATTTAACCGATGGAAGTATTTGCGGACAAAATTACAGAAGATCATACAAGACAAAAAACATCAAATTCAATTCAAATATAATGTTTTCGTCTCTTCACATGTACATCACAATCAAAATTGAATAAAAACTGGTAAAAGTACATATGCCCTTCAATACAGAATTATATGAGACGTGTAAGCAAAGCTTACTAAAAGTCATATTTACATTCTTATATTATTATATACAATACACACATTACAGTAAATGTATTGGGAATGTTGTGAAACTATCATTTTGTCTAAAAGTCTATATATAAAACAATTCACTAGTCTGTTTATGAAATTACAAATCAAAAAATACTAGAATGTACAAAATACACTTAAAAACCTATTAAAAACATTACTCCTAACCAATAAAATAAATTACAGCTGTAATATTCACAACACTGTCTGACTTAAAATACCTACCTAAAATAGAAGAGTTACCTACAATAAAGTAAAAGATGTCTATGCTTTAAAATATTAAAGCAGGCTTTGCCTGTAGACTTAGTCATACTTGGATTAGCATTTTCTCAACATCAGATAAGTTGTCAAAATTATAAAGAATTGTTCTTGCAGATTCAAATAGGTCTTCCCTGAATTGTGTATAGATTGGACAGTGTAAAATAACATGTGTCTCAGCTTCTACGGTATCAGTACAGTTGAAACAAGTTCTTTCGTGTATTGACAGATTTTTCATACCTCCCAGTTTCCAGTCTTATCGATGCAACACCGCATCTAAATAATGTCATATCTCTTCGATAATGAAAAGGCTAATGTTGTTTTACATAAGTTTCAGTTTCAAAAACATTCTTGAACATTCTATATGTTCTAAGCTTATTTCTATCATTTCCAGAAATTGATGACACTCGTTCTAATGATTGTTTCCATTTATTAACTTCTAAATAAAAGATTTTCTTCTCAATATTTGTTACAATTGCTTTAGTATTCACTTTATTAGATTAAAATAAAAGAGGTCTTCAAAATTAATACTATGTAACATTTCCGTAATTCGAAAAGTACTATTCTTACACTTAATACTAGCTACTGATCTTGACCAATTAAATACTTTTTATTCAATCTTGAATTATGTATATTTTGCAGTCTACAGTGTTGTCTTATAACAGAGCCCCATTGCTGACCTATCAATGGATTTCAGCCCATCTCAACATGGACCGCTGAATTTGGAATATATTTACCTCCCATAAAAAATAATGCATTGCCTTATTATGACTTGAGTATACTTATACATATATACAGAGTTAATTACTTTCGAGTAAAATTAATTATGGAGTAAAGTCTACCGACACTTTAAAACAGTTAATGTTATTCATCTGATTGTCTTGTAACCTTAACCTAGCTAATTTAAGAAAGTCGTACTCTTATGCTTTTTAGCTTTTGAAATCAATTAAATTCTTCATTATCATATAAGCAAATTACCTGATATATATAATTCTGCAAAAAATATATCGGTTTTCTTTTGTTTTTGTTCTTTTAAAATCCCAGGAGAGTAAGATAACCGTAATACTTCAACTGGTATCTTTATATATGATGAAATAAGGGCAGTCATCAAATCACTTTACATTCATTTACTCTAACATTATTACATCTCTTGATTTTGCTCAATATTTTTGTTTCAGTGCTATTCTCTTAAGTTGTGAAACATCCAGTATTTAAACATTTTAAACACATGTTTGGCAGAAAGGATATGGATGTCTGAGGCATCATAGCCTCTTTTTAACAAATTGTATGTTTATAATTGACTCTTTTTTCCGTAGGATGTCTCGATTTCATTGTAAATAAAGTCTATCTTATTCTCTGGTGGTTTTGATGGGTATGTTTTTGATAAATAGATATATGTTTTAGACACGCTCTCAAAATGTAGATATTCAAGATAGATCATGTTTGTAAAGAGACAGTAGACTCTGAATAAATACGTAAATTATCTGGATACAACATAATAATGAAACTTTATGACTTTATTCGGAGAAGAATAATCAAAAGATACGCATAGAACAAAAAACGAATTTCTGAAATTGTTGTACATTTTGTCATTACAATAGGAGCTGTTCTGGAAATAACTGTTGAATGAATGAACCAAGTTTAATGTTATAACTGCACCTATTCTCAGTTAAAATAATAAGGTGCATGAGCTTGAAAGAGATACTTCATATCTAGATTATTATTATCATAGAATATCATGTAATCACTGATTCCATATCTATGTCATCCAATACTGATAAAAGAAAGATATCAATGGGTGACTATTTGGAGTCAGTAAATTGTTTTGGTTTAGCGAGAACTTGTGTCATATTGTACAGTGAGGTTTGTTTGTATTTTGGAAGACAAGGATTTAACAAACAGCTAAGTGAAGTTTTATATAATTTTGTATATAATTATTCTTCTAATCTAAAAACAATTTCCACAAACATCCAAGAATATGTTAAATATGAAAAGCAATGTTAATGTATGTACATTATAATTAAACTTTAACCTTGACAAACAATTCAGGAATTCATGATTTAATTTAATAAGACGTAGAAATTAGAATTCATTCAACTTTCTCATCTTACATAACAATTGGCCATCAGATTGTTGGCCATCATATTCTTGTACTATATCTAGATAACCGGCTCTGCCAAGTTTCCGCTAAACAGTTACCCGAGAGCTAGATATTCTGGTCTGTAACGCAAGCCTGTGTTTGATTCTTTTTCTTACAAATGTTAATCATATTTCGGAAAGAATTAACGTAAACTAATATTTTCATATAGCACTTTTTTCTTACAGTAGCACATGGATTTACAACTTTATTCAAAACGATAAAATTACGTCATTCTAAGAACGCCATTCATTCATGAAAGGTACCGGGAATGACGTCATTTAAGCACGCGACTTGTCTTACAGGGGATGTAAGACAGGTTTTTCTAGCACCGGTGCAAACGGTAGATAATCTTGTCTGATATGCAAGAAAGGTTTTACTAGCACCGGACAATTTCGTGACGGACTTAGGACAAAAACATGACAGACGGACGGACAACCTACGGACAACGCCGGCTCTATATTCATCCGTCTTTGATGGTGGATAAAAAGTACATCATGTAAGGAAATAATTGCTAGACAAAAGTTACAATTTTTTCATCTTTTTCTATTTTCAACATTTCGCTGACGTAAAGTCGATGCTATTTTTGTTATGTTGTGCATTCAGTCCATTTAGCTATTCGAATGAAGTTTGACATTTTCAATTTAAAGGGCAAACATGAGCTTTATAATGTTTAAATAATGGTTTAAGAGAATGTTAGATGGAAATCGCTTGTGGAAATATGCCTGAATGAAAGATCATTTGTCATAAAAGTAGCAAAATGTACACAATATCGAATTTTGACTTCTTTACAAAATGCTACATCACTATAAATGTATCAAGCAAAAGATGGTTTAAGTTAATGGCAAATAACAATACGATATGAATGTATATGTACACATCATTATTTACTACTGATTATTGAGCAATTGTTTAATGTAAATATACACATTGTAACATACACGTATCAACATAGTTTTGGCAAACCAGGTTTAAACTTCCACAATTCATATTTATTAGGGAAAAAAGGCATTAAATTTCTTTTTTAGATACGATGTTTATAGTTTTGGATTTTATATACATGTATATGTCAACAATATTGTTATTCTATTCGTGTAAATATTAACAAGATAACTGATATCAATAAATAGATTACAATGAAATGACAAGCAGAGGTTATAATCGTTTATAAATTAATTGATTAAATTAATTAATTTAAATTGATTAATTAATCAATAACACAAATCAGATTTTCATTTGGTTCAAGTCATTTAGAAAGACTCATTTCTTTTAAACCATAAAAGCAATTTTGCGTGTTTTTTTGTAAATTTTACATTGGTTTCCCATAAACTCAAGTCCACTTATATCTCTACTGGGATCCTATATATTTACCGGACAATCAGCTTACCGGACAAAAGCTATTCCTGCCGAATAGTGCTTTATTTTTTGCTTCGATTAAAACATTTTACAGTCTGAATCGTACACTCACAGAAAATAACAACAAAATCACTCTCAGGTAAATATTGTTGATTCAGTTCTTTACCTACTAACATGCCCTTTTGTTCACTAGCTATATCAAGGCCTGGTCATGCGGGGTAATAATCCGTTCTGCGCTAGCCCAAATATTGAGGCCCTTAATGGGTTATTTTAGATAGGTTTTACTTTTAATTTATCACAACATTACCTCAGGAGACAATCGTAACATATTTTAATGATAAAAAGTAATTTGAAATTTAGTCCAAACAGTATCTCGTTGTTGTCTTTTACAAAGAAATGCAAATTAAAAAAATAACATGTAAGGAAACGGGTTTCGCCCCATTGGAGGAATTTCTACATGAAATGTAAATGAAATAGATTTTATGACTTTTGTAACATTCTACATGATGACCAAAAGGAAACTGTATGATAAAGAACAGAATTCTATTAAAATATCAAAATGTTTCATATGTTTAAGGATCATGAAGAATCAATACGTAAATTGAATTAATAGTGTTAACTTCAGTTACACCTTATATATTGGCCTCTTCGTAACAGGCATGGCTGCCGTGTCTATTTCTAGTGACATACTGGGTTTTTCCAATATCTTAACCTTGCCATTGAAGAGTCGTTGTTTCCTTGCTGATTATTTAAAGATTAATTTCAATTCTCGACTTCAAACAATTTTGAAACACAATGTCCGGTAAATTGAGTTGTCTACACGATTTTTTCCTCTTATAATGCCCTACTTTAAAAACAAATTTCTACGGTCAAATGTTTGATTTTATGTTTGATAAAGTAATATTTGCGTGTATTAAGAACCCAAAATTATTTGGGTAAAATTCCATTCTTTTTTATTATATTAAATAAAAGTTACAGATAAAAAACATCATATTTTGCCCGGTAATATGAAGGATCCCAGTATCTATTTTTAGGCGTGCAAGCAAACGTTTTATAACACATTTGTACTATCAATTACTCACACTTTTTATTTTTGGATTTTTTAACGAGCCCCTTTTTCTGCTATTCATAAACCGATTGCCACTTTATTATCTTAGGTCAATGTTCAAATGCAAAAATCTTTAGTTTTTAAGTCAGAATTCGGGCGATTCGATCGTTCATTTTTCCAAAGTTATTCAGATCATCCTGAAGGGTTCTCTTGGTCAAAGAGCGATTTTCCAGGTTTTACTGGTGTAGGAAGACCTCGGGTAATTTTGTTGGATAGCTTCCTCACATGTTCGAATCCAAAGTCGCGGGCAAGATTCGCTTCTTAAACGGTAAGGGCAAGTGACAGATATTGCGCTTAACAAATAGAAAGTATTGATTGAATAAGATAAATAT